TTGTCGTTTGTCACGACCTAAATGCTCACATCTTTCAGGCTATTTGCGTGATTGTTTCACACGAATATAAGTCATAATTATTGAAATTGGCATAATGAAACATTTAAATATTTCTCCTCTAAATTGAAACCAAACCATAGGGTACTGTAGGAAGTTACCGAGGTTCTTCTCATGATCCGTGACATCCCCTAGTCTCTTTTCCATTGGATTCCAAAATAAAATGTTCCAAACTTGAGTTATTCTCATTTCACACATCTTTGTCCGACTTCGTTGAAAAGTCCTATTCCATTGAACTTCTTGAAGATAATATCTCCTGATTTTTATCAAGAGTTTTCTTAGGTGACTCCGGTTAGCTAAGATGTAATTAACTATAGGGGCATGCTATTATAGAAAACTTTTCCACACACGGCTTAATATAAACCCTATTTAATTTTTCATATTAAATAGAGGAACTTATCGGCTTATAATAAAATGATTTCGCAGACCAAACAGATGTCATATATTTCTTGGTTTATTTGATTGAGTCTCATTGCCAAGCCAAGTGTTTATTTTTCAAGATAGATACATAGCTTAAGGCGTGGTGCTCTTTCATTTAAACTATGAAAGATATAAGATCGATTTGATTTCATATTTTTCTAAACTAAAAATATATATAAATTAAATGTCTCTCCGAAGCGGGAGACAGAATTCTGATTCCGGCGGCCGACAACTTCTAGTACCGACAATTGTTACACAAAAGTAATAAATATATTGAAATAATAAAAATGATGTAGCTAGGGGTGTAGCCTATTTTATAAGGGGAATTGATGTGTATTGACCATATGAATCATTCTAGTTGAATACACTTGACTTGAACTCATACTTATCGCATTATCTAAATGAGCCAGCTGAAGTCAACAAGAGAGTTTGGAGAATTGATCAAAATCAATTTTTTCCAATGTGCTTCCTTTATATATCATGGAAATATTGTAATCAAATCACAGGATTAACTCTAACCCACAATTTGAGCTTAAACAAGAGAGTTTTTTTAACTCTGCATAAAAATATATAAAATTTTAAGTACTGTAATATATAATTATATGATTATATATAATATCAACTAAACAATAACTCAACCGGTCCTTATTATTTCATGCTCACCAATAAATTACAAATATAAATAATAACTATTTTTATATAGAAAAATTAATCCTTAATAATAAATTTTTCAAAACTATTCAATAATACAACATCATTGATGAAGAATATATAATAGTTTTTTAATATTACTATATTTATTTCAAAGTTACCAACATAAAATTTTTATTTTGTGTTTATTTATTTATTTTATTGAATAGTCTAAAAAATAAGTAGCAGCATGCATTATCATTGGAAAAAAAATATTACATCAGGACTTCGCACATAGAGTTACGTGCGATGAAATCATGTCACACAACTGAAAATGAGAAAAAAAAATGATTTGGTAACAATATTCCTCCTGTGCTATTCAGGTGTTATTGTGTGTTATTCAAGTGTTATTGATGTGCTATTGTTGTTATAACACCAGAAATATTCCCAGAACACAATAACACATGAATAACGTACAATAACAACTTAATAACACGGGAGAATATTCCCCCATATTACATATTTTATCAGAAATATTCTTTGTGACGTGATTTAATTAGACTTCTCATGTAATCCTATACGTGGAGTCCTGACGTAATATTAATCCTATACGTGGAGTCCTGACGTAATATATTTTCTTATCATTGATATGCGATTACTAAATATTGAACTGGCTGAGGATATTGCTGTAATTATACATTATAACGGGTAAGTCGGTGAGGTTTCCCGAGCGCTGCTACCGATTTCATCATGGTCCAAATTTAATTACCTTTTATCATTATAAAAAAGAAAATCAACTCTCAACAATACAATACACATAATCTGCTGCTCGTCTTCATCACCATCAGATTTTTTTTTAAAAAAAATTCAACCCTACCGTTCTTGCTTCAACCTCTCCTCCCCCGCTTCTCTCTTCTTCCTCTGAAAATAGACGTCAAAAACAGGATTAATTCGAGGAGGAAGAACAAGACTGAGCTTTTCCTTGCCATCTCTTCATGTAAGCAAACCTTACTATTTTCTCTTTTATTACCATCTCTCTTTTCTTCTTGATTGGACACAGTTTGTTGTTTTGAGAAATCCCAAATTCCTCTTTTTCAAGGCAGTATCTGATTTAAATCCACCCCAAAATCACATCATTTTGCCTAATTTGGATCATTCTGCGCTTGAAAGGGAAACTAATAGAGCATTCGCTGCTGTATTTTCACCTGAGCTATCTTTTATAGTTTAAACCACTTTTCAATCCTTCCATCTCAGTTCTTAAATTTCTGCATTTCCTCAAGAATGCAGTTTCATCTTCCTTTTGGTTGAGAAAGTCATGAGCTCTGCTAAATCCTAAATTGAAACTAAAATATGTGAGCGAGGTCTCCCTTTTCACATTGCAAGCTGCCTAAACAATCCTTGACCGAGAGAATGTTTGGGTCACAAACTCAGAGCGAGATCTCTTATAGATTACCTTCCCTTATATATCAATGGAAAAACACCATGATCAACGCTAAAAGCTCTACCAAAACCTCACACAATAGCGGCAGTTCATGGAAGGCAGCCAGAGTCAATGTCAAATTCCAAGATCTTTATGATTTCACAGTAGAGGGTAACATTGATGATGTTAATGTACTGAATGAAGTGAGGGAGAGGGTGAGGCAGCAGGCAAAGGTGTGGTGGGCTCTTGAGGCCAGTAAGGGTGCAAATTGGTACTTGCAACCTCAGATATCTTCCAAAGGAGAGGGCATCAGCGTGGCTTCACTGAAGCTTTCAGTGCTTACAAACACAATTTCTCTAAGAAAGCTTATAAGGAAGGGTATTCCTCCGACTCTGAGACCTAAGGTGTGGCTCTCAGTTTCAGGTGCAGCAAAGAAAAGATCAACTGTGCCTGAGAGCTACTATGAAGATCTGATTTTGGCTACCCATGGAAAGGTTACACCTTCAACGAGACAGATTGATCATGTAAGTCTTTTGATTGATTGAATTTTTTATACACGGTAGTTGGAAGCCACTTGCTTGTGAGTTTGGTGGTAGTTTGAAAATTTCTTTTATGAAAAATTACAATTTTCTTTTAATATAGTTTGGTCTTTTGATGGTGCGGTTGATGTTGAATGAGTTATTTGTTGAGCTGTTCAACTTAGTTTATGATTTTGCTTCATACCCTTTCTGATTGTGTAATTAAATAAAAAGTCTTCTAATGTTAATAAATTTTTTGGTTTCTTGAAAAAATTGCTTATGTAGGCACAAAAAATAAAAAAATTATTCCTTGATGTTGTCAATGAGATAGGTAATTAATTAGTTGTTACAAAGTACTGGGAGACATGGCAGCTCTTCATGAAACTTTATGATGTAATCTGATATATTTATTGTTATTCTTATCTGTGTAAGTTATGGTTTAATGACATGCCGAATTCATTTCTGTAAATTGTTGCTTAAAATAGAAGGCCAAGTGCTTCAAATCAATTCTTCCTTGTCTTCTCCAATTTTATTTCTCTTCTGGCTCCTATTTGTTGCTTTCACAACATGATTTCATGACCATCGGATATGAAAGCTATTTTAGTCCAGTGGAATAAAAATGAGTTACTGCTTATTTGACTTGCTGAAGCTGTCTAGTGTAGAGATCAAATTTGCATTGAAATATATGATATATGCTTATCAAATGCTACTTCAAATGTGCATTGAAATATAACTTTTCTCATTAGTGTTTTTATTTATTTATTTAGAAAATAAATCAAGCCTGATTTATAAAGTAATAAACAAGCTGTGCAGCAACATGTGGATTTAACAATCTTTCTTTATTCCGCTTCCACTTTTGAACTTACATGCTGTTTCCTTAGATGCATTTATCATTTCAGCACACATTCCTCTAGACGTATTTTGTGAATAACCTATTTTAAGCTGCAAAAAAGTTTGTCCAAATGGATGGACATGTGCCACCCCTTGTTAGAACCACGATTGTTAGAAGCACGAGCGCCTGCCTTTTTTCTTTAGCTTGTGGATAAATTGTTTATATCCAACTCAATCTTCTTACAGGCGGTGCAATTCAATTTATGATACAGCATAAAGCATATTAAGTTTCTCCATTGGTTTACAATTAAACTTACCCATTCCTTTGATTTTCTTATAAGTTCCTTTATTGCTTGCATATGCTCTAATTTTATTCTCAGAAATAAACAACACCATTTATACACATTTGGAAATTTTTGCAAGAAGGGCTTAAGAAAGAATAAGATCATGTGAGAAATTTAGCTTATGATCATTAGATATTTGTCATAGGAATGCTGGGTATATATAAGCACTTTGAACTATTAAGAAAATATTTTTGATGCCATTGAAATAATCTTTAAATCTCTTTTACCAAAAGAAGCTAGGGCGTGATGGCCGGAAAACTAATTGTTTCTTATGTTATGACCCTTCACAAGCTTTCCCGTTCCTGCTGGCACCTTGACGTGGTCATGTTGAAGCGGGTTTGATATCTTCTATAAGCATATGTGCAAGAAGCTATAGGCAATGACAATAATTGCAAATATGGTTGTTTTAATTAAATTAATGCAATATGGGTCCTTGATGTGTCATCAACAAATTTTTATGATCAGGCATGAATCTCGATGCATTTTTTTAAGAGATCTTTCAAATTCAAATTCGTGATAATCTAAGCTTCAATTTCATTGAATTTATAATCAAAATGAGCATCTCGGCAAGACAAACCCAAAGAATCTAAACCTGGTTCAATTTGGGTCTAATCAAACCCAACTCACGCCATTGAAGCACAATTGAATGTTTTAGATCGTAAATTGAATTGTCAAACGAACTCTAAATTTAACATATTTAAAGTCAAAATGAAGTTTCTCGATAAGAGAAATTAAAATGTGCCTAAGATCGCTCAATTTTGTGGTCATTAATGCACCCAAATCCTTAAAAAATCACCTATGATAAATGAAGGTTAGCATAGACTGACCGATCATGTGATTAGGG